TCATTAAGAACTTTCTGATTTGTCTTTCTTTCTGCCTGGATATAGGATTCTATATTTCATCTGCATTTTGGATCTTCCTTGTTATTAAGGTCATTTACGTATTTCCATTAGGGACCTCGCTCCCTAGAAAATCCCAGAGAAAAGTCGAGTATTTTTTGCCAGTTTATTCTCTGAGACACAAGATTTCCATTAAAAACTGAATATTCTATACATCGCGTTTATATTTGGAATTCACTTTGGAGTGGAAGGAAACTGAATTTAACTCATTTAATATTTTACTTAGCGACACAGTGGATATGCTTTTATACTGCAACTAATTAGTAACTAATTATCGAAAACTGGAATCTGCACGAATTCAAATAGGTAGTAATAATTATTCCAAACACGATAATTACTATAAGAATTACAATTATTATATACAAGTAATATAGTCAACAATCGAAGAACGCACAGTCAACTGACATAATCTCAAAATATTAATCACAAAAATTGCAATAGTAATTACAAGCAAATAATATACTCAATTTAAAATCAAAGAATGCACAGTTACCTGACAACATAACCATTGAGATCATATGATACAATAATTAATAAAATCATCATAAAAATTGCAACGGTAATTACAAGCAAACAATATATTCAATATAAAATCTAAGAATGCACAGTCAACTGACATAATCTCAAAATATTAATTACAAAAATTGCAATAGTAATTACAAGCAAATAATATACTCAATATAAAATCAAAGTGTGCACAGTCAACTGACACAATCTCAAAATATTAATTACAATAGTAATTACAAGCGAACAATATATTGAATATAAAATCGAAGAACGCACAGTCAACTGACAATGTAATCTCGTTAAAAGGTAAGTCGCAGGTTCGTTCCGGATAATTATCGACCCCAGCCCCCTTATTATCCGCGGATCGATTTTCCCGGGTCGTGTTCGGGCATCCAGGCGTGCCGGAATCACGGTATGCATGCGAAAAGTTGCAGAATGTTATTTCGTAGCCGGCGTGCCCGCGCTTATGAACTTCATGAATTCATTACCGTGGGCCAGGACTCGTTACGCGAGCCGGCGCGGCGCACCGCGTTCGTTTAGAGCCCTTCTGGAACTGGAACGCATGCCCGCGAAAGCGCCGCGGATATTTTCAATGTTTCTTCGTTAGACGCAGGGCCGCTCACTTAATCCGGCCGGATCTATTAATCGTCGGGCCAATTATTTACTACGGAGTCCCTTGGGCTCGTTAAAGTCCGCTTAATGAAAATGGATACCGCGTAACTCAGCCGATACGGAGAACCTCCGCGTAACACGGTCGTTGGCTATCTAAAAAAATACTTTTCCATGCGGATTCGCGCTACGAGAAACTGAGAAATTTAAATGCGAGAAACAGGGTTAGGTTCTACGTGTCGAAGGAAATTATAGTGTTTTATGAGTTAGGGATGTGTATTAATCCTTAGCGCTCCAATTTTTATAGTATTCATAGCGAAAATGAGAAATGCTGTAACATTTCTTCGATCTTTTATTTTCCTTCATAGTGCAAAATTTGGATCTGCCGAAAATCGAATAATTTTAGGGTAGTTAAGATTCATTGAAATATTTAGTATTATAACTGGTGCAATATTGGAGCCTACAGAGTTCAAAGAGTTAAAGGAGTGATTGATGGAAGGTATTAGGTTTTCTTCTGAAACTGATCGATACTGTTATAGATTATTATTAATCGATCGAAAGAATCACGTGCTGTTCCCCAGTTGATAGAAGACATTAATTCTTCGAAATAATTCCATATTGTTCCATAATTGAAATGATTATAACCGAATATTAATTCCTCAAAGGAAACATGTTCTCCTCCAGTTGATAGGAAACATAATTGATCATTAACCCTTTGCGGACGGACGTCGGCATCTCGGTAAGATGAAATGTTCGTATTTGGAAGACTAACTCGCGAACAAATGACGTTATTACTCAATCAGCGAGAGATCAGAACGTAATTTCCTTCTTTCTATTAATTAAGCAATCGATATGTAATTTAGCTTCATACGTTTCAAAAAATCCTCTGCAAAGGGTTAATTGCTCAAAAGAATTCTATTGTCTCAGTTCACCAATTATTACACTTCAGTACTAATTCCTCGATGGAATCATATATTATCAAGAACATTGTAGTCAATTATTAACCCTTTACACTCGAAAGGTGACTCAGTCACCACTTGATACAGCAAAACTATGAAGTCGAATATTCACTATTTTAAATTAAACTTTGCATTGCAATGTGAAATATTTAAATAAAATATCTGTCGCTTAATTTATCTGTGAATTATCATTAAATCAATTTCAAACAATGTCTTTACCTCATCAGACAATATTCAAGTATTTCTACTAAAAAACTTCGGAATGCAAAGGGTTAATTGATCAAAACGATCGCATTCAATTATTAATTCCGCCACAATTCCACCGCAGTATTAAAGCGAACCTCTATTTCAGGAATGCTTCGTTACACAGAAATTGCCCGCGCCGGTTAATCTTTGTTGCCGGCAGTCAAACATCCGCGAACATTTCCGCGAATTCCACGTGAAAATCCGTCGCTGAAAAGGACATCATTAAAAGCCGGCGTTTTTCGAGGGGAAAACCGCCGCTGAAACGTCCGCGAATTCGTGGACGTTAACAGTATGAGCAATCGTTGACGAGTTCGTTCCGGGTCGAATTCGTTGTAAACTCCCTTTCCAGCGGCGACGAATTATGGAAAAAGATTTCCGCCTTCCGCCGTGCCATTACTCTTTATACCCGCCGCGGTATTTCTCTTTTCCGCGGGAGGTTAGGAACGCGTGGCGCGGACCCGGTTTAACTAACCTCTCCCGGCTTTACGATCAAGCGGACCTGTTTACCCCGCGATTTTGATAGGCGTTCAGCTTTTACGCCTTGTACCCGCCGCGCGGCGTTTAAATTACGTTCGCCGTTTGTCGGGAACTTTTACGGGCCGAATAATCGCGGTACCTGCGAAGGAAATGCAGTCGGGTCGAAGGTCGCCGCGGCCCGGAGGAATCGGGCTGCAGTCGAATGACGCGTGTAATTGTCTCGGAGACGATTTCCGTTCCCATTTAGGGCGCCGCGAAACTCGTCGTGAATGGTAACTGGCTATTATCTTTCTTGTCGCCCGGTGGGGGTCATTAGTAATCTAACCGATTCGATTACCGTTTTTACTTTTGGATGAGGGATTGTTATCGGTGAACTTTCCAGTGTTAGTATTTAATACTGTGGAATACTAATATAATATATAATATATGGAATAATGATATATAGACAGATGAGTAATAGAATGACAAAAGTCGATCAAGTCGTTCGGTGCATCTCTAATGAGATTTTCTTGGATGGAAGATACAATTATCTGATACAGTATGATGAATCATATGAATTGTGATAAATTGAGTCAAATGAGATTCAATTTTGGAAACTAATTATTATCTCCATTAGAGATACTATCTCTATTGTCTACAGAAATCTATTCCAAGAGCAAAAGCTCATATTCCTATAAAACCACCCCGATGAGATGAGAATAAAATGAAACTAGTAATCTAAATGAAACTTACGGTAACCTACATAATTATCTCCATTAGATATACTATCTCTATTGTCTACAGAAATCTATTCTAAGAGCGAAATCCTCTTATTTTCCTATAAAACCACCCTGATGAAATGAGAATAAAATGAAAGTAGTAATCTAAATGAAACTTACGGTAACCTACGTAATTATTATATCCATCAGAGATGCTATCTCTATTGTCTACAGAAATCTATTCTAAAAGCGAAAGCTCATATTCCCATAAAACCACCGTGACGAAATGAGAATAAAACGAAACTAGTAATCTAAAGGAAACTTACGTTAACCTACATATTTCCTATACAAGCACCAGTGTCCACGGAACGGTGGTGAAACGAAACAGAGCGAACAAGCATGTTTGATTCGAAGCGAAGAGATGGGTGTAGAAGCGTGTCGACCTTTCGTGACGGGGAACACGTTTCGCGGTCCGTATGCTGCGGGTCACGGTGCGCCGGGCGTCTAGCTACAGCCCTGGGTCGAGTATAAATACTGCTGCGAGCTGACGAAATTGGACCCGAGGGGTATCGCGAAGCGAGGATGCGCCGCCGGTGGAAATAGAGGCTCGATTCACTTGGCAGCAGTGTACATTGTACACCGAAACCCAGTGCCGTATTCGATAGACGACACGCCCTTTGCCCCGCAGGTCAATTGTTTATGCCCGGCGAACTGGGGAATGATATTGCCAACTGGCATTCATTATTAGCGACTCGGTTGGCCGGGGGATGATGACAGATGGAAAATCGAGGGTCAAGTGGCTGTTTTCTGGACGAAATTCGATAACTCAATACTTTTTATATAGTTAAGTCTGTCGAACGGATGATTCTACTAAACGGCCAGTTCACACTAGGTTTACGGACATTTATTTTACGGTTTATGTTACTGTCCCTAGAAAAATTCGAGTTGAGAAATATATCACAGGCCAAGGGGTTAAGCGAACGTAATGCATCGTTAATAACGTAATTCATTGTAAATATTTGGATTTGAAAAATTTTTTATCACGTATCATGGAATTTCAGTTATATTTTGTTTGTGAATTGTGATTTTTTTTAATGGAATATTAAATTATATTCAGTTTGGTGATTTCTATATATTTTGATACTGTTTCTTCATGCTTTTCAGGAGGGAGACATAATAACGTAACGCATTGTAAATATTTACATTTGAAACAATAGTTACAACATGAAATACAATTAGCTAATTAAAATACAGTACGAGTATTTACAATCACATTACAAATACACAATCACCAATCCAAAATTAACACAGATCATCAATAAATCACGTCCTCCCAAACGAACACAAACTGGACAATACAACATAAGACGTCACCAAACACCGTTCCGCCCGACAAATCGACAAAACGACCGTGCCCTAATGATCGTATCGTCACGTCTGTTAACAGAGATCGCGCCGCAGCTGGTGTACAGGTTCATCGAGCAGACGATGCAGATCGGGCCGTCGGTTTCCCTGAAATGCAGCGCCGCGGGTAATCCCACGCCGCAAATTTCCTGGTTGCTGGATGGATTTCCGCTTCCGCAAAACGACAGGCTCCTGATTGGCCAGTACGTGACTGTGTACGGGGACGTAATATCGCACGTTAACATCTCGTCGGTGAAGTCGGAAGATGGGGGCGAGTACGAGTGCATCGCCAGCAGCCGGGCCGGCGAGGCGCGCCACTCGGCCAGGCTCAATATTTACGGTGAGTCCTGCGGCGAGATCGAACCAGGGGGAACCAGGGGGAACCAGGGGGAATCGGAGAGGGAACTAGAGGGAGCGGAGACTGTTAAGGAGAAGAATCGCCGGCCGGTGTCGATTGAAATTGACTGGAAACCCCGGGGAATATTACGTTTCTCGCGGAATCGATCGGCCGGAATAACGGCTTGATGAGGCCCCTTTTGTCATTAACG